TAAGGAACTAATATACAAACACATTAGAAATCAGACTGTATTCACTGAGACCACTCAGCTAAGTATTTATAACTAGCTACAACAGGGCTTAAGCCTACAAATAGTTGTGTATATACCTACCTGGAGCTCAAAGAGCTCCAGGCAATAAATTCATCTGGCCTCTCAATCTATGTCCCTTCTTGGCTTTAGAAGAACAGAAAGACTTTTTCTGGAAGTGAAAAATAACTATAAATCAGATTCTTTTCATCCTGTTCTTCAGGGCCAGTTCTGTGTATTAATCAAGTAGACTTTAACAAATAGCCATTAAAATCATTAAGCAGATTTAAAAGACTTCTCAGAAAGAGAGAAGATTGGAGTTGCTGAGAACCACTGAGCAGATTTCCTATGTGGGACAGGACAATAAGTGAGCTGTGGTGACCACACTGCAGCAGCTTCTGAGAGGGTCTTTGTTCCCATCCTGGTGACTCTATTGAGGATTCACTGCATTTCTGGAAATAAAGAAGTTCTCTTAACGGTTTAGAGTCTATACAATTTTACCACAATAAAATTGTGGCAATAAAAGAAAATTAGCATGTAATAAAAAAGTTCTTGCAGGTTTAACAGGAGAAAATAAATTCTAATAAATCCCATAATCTTGATTTTCACATTCACAGTTTGGAACAAAAGAGAGTAATCATGTATATTCAGGGGCTTTTCAATATAAACTGTTGTCCAAGTCCTCTGCATTTGTATTACATATAATTTGATAGAATAATCTTTGCATTACCGGTTCCTTGGCTTAATTTATTTCTTTTGTCTTGTGTCTTGCATCCCACTATATTTTCCTTTCTTTGCAAAATGAGGCCAAAGAGTCCTGAATTGCTCTTTGGCCTTCTGTATCTTTATTTAGTTTGTTTAGAAGTCTGAATATCAGAGCAGAAATTGTTAAAAAAAAAAAAAGGCACTGGAGGTAGAGTGACTGTAAAAGACTTAATCAGAGATATTGATTAATTTTATTGACAAAAGTGCTTTAAGAAGAATGCAAGGGTCTCACCTCCTTCATGCAGCCAACACTAGCTAGCAAAAAAGATTAATTTATTATAACCAGAATGGCACATTTACACTATGAATACTGAAATTTAGTATTCTGGTCCCTATATTACAAAAAAACACCAAACACTAATATTGTAAGTAATTTCTTAAAATATACAACACCTTGAAACAAAGATTGTTAATTTAAAACCTGTGTCTGACAGGACTATATAAACTTAGACTTTAGAAAATAGAGCAAATCTATTCAATCAAGCAGTATGTTCCCCCTTCATACTAGGTAATTTCCCATTGTTTTTAATGTATATTTCCTTGTTCCAAAAAGGAGTGAGTGAACATTAACGCTATAGGTTTGAAGATGACAGATATCTGAAGTTACTTTTTATATTCTATATATTGCCCATAAAGTCCAGTATAAGTAAGACTCCTGCAAGGAGCCTTGCACCTGCTTAAACAATCAATTTGAAGTCCTTTAAATCCATTAAATCAAATTTTAATTAACTTAGAGTCAATATCCCTTAGGCCTTATTCTACAAAACAATCCTGTTTAAACAATGGTGGTGAAACATATTTCTCTTAGTTGACTGAATGGACAGAAGAATAATGTGCTAACATTACATGCTTTAGTAAACTTAGTACAAAACTAATCTGCAGTACTGACATTAATTGAAGTAATCTTAGAATCAGGTCCTGCTCTGTATGAATTAAGGTATCAGATTAAGTTGTATAAAATAAGTACACATAAGATTTGAATCCACAATATTTCAAAAGCCTTGTTTTGATAGAAGTTCTATTTGTGTTACATGCCTTTAAAAATTATTTTGTATGAGTTTGCATTACAGATATTTCCTACAATTATTGATTTGTATGTGCTCTGTATGGAACTATTCACATAAATACATAAAAACTTAGGAGTTTCAAAAGGAACCCTCCTTCAACACACAAATATGATGGTTCATATTTCAGAGACAAGGAATGAACATCATTGAGACTTGGTCTTCAGTACTGATGATACATCGTGTTTGAAACCATTCCCCTATGTCATGCAGAGAAGAATTGTAGTCTGAACAGCTCTGCTGGAGAAAAAAGAATATTCTAAGGCAATATCCATCAAAACAGTTTTTTTATTAAATATGAGTCACTTGAAATTGGAAATTGAAAAAGACAGTGGTTTTTCTTAATGAGATCACAATAGAAACAAACATTTTCATTCATAATTGTGTTGCATTCTGTAAAAGGAAAAAAAAACTCCATGTAAGGAAATGAGAAATTAAGGTATAAAGTACAAGAATTTTAATTAAATAATCTATGATGCCTGTAGCATCACTTTCGATACACTATAATCTTTTTCAAGGCAGAAGCTATACTGCTGCATTTAATGTATGCTAGTTTAAATATTCAACATTATTATCTTGCTTAGAAAATCTTCATAAGGCATTACAATAAAGCAAGCCAAACCTTTCAGTGAAGTAAAATATTCAAATAATGTGATCTTTAAAGAAGTTAGCAGAAAACCAAAAGCATATTGCTTTAAACCTGTTCTTGGGGAATAATTTAAATGACTAACCATTTTAAAGTTGTGTAGCTTTTTTAAGGTAACAAGCTGAAATAAAGCAGTGATTTTTTTTATTACAGTTGTCTTTTCAGCTATATTTCTTTCCATTTCCACATTAAAATGGAACACATTACTGCCACTTTGTAGCTTTTATATATTCCTTTTAAGCAGCACTTCCATTTTGTTTCTCTAATTTGCACATTGTCGTGTTCTTTCAGTAAAAATAAATTATGTGCACAATTTTACTCTTGACAAAATTGTTTACTCTTATTGATTAATCATTTTCCTGGTTTTGTCTATTATCTTAAACCATAAATCCACAAAGACATAGAGTTATATTTGATTCTGCATTTTCCAACTTGAAATCTTTTTGCATTTGTAATGAGAAAAGTCTGGCTATTTATTTCCAAAAGGCTGATCCAGTAATCTATCTCTACTCTAGAAAAACATTAAAAGTATACTTTCAAGTGCTTTGGTGATGAGGGTTTCTTATTTATTAGCCAAATTTGGGCCTGAAACATGCTACATCTGACAACAAATTAACAAAGAGGAATAAGGTTCTGTCGAGGATTGACAGAATAGAGACTTCCTCTATTTGTTCAAACAGATCCCACTTCGCTCAAATATAATGTGAGTTTTGCCATTATCTGCAATGGGACCAGACCTCAACCATTATTTTTCATTTCATTGTACATTATTCTAAATGATATACAGCCTATAGTGTTAAAAATTGTAACTTAATTTGCTTTCTATGAAACAGCCTCTATGAATAAAACCAAAGAGATGTAGCTCTCTAAGGCATGAAAAATACTTCTAATCAAATTTATCTCTGTGTGGGAAAAAATATGGCAAATGAATGACAAAGAATTATCAGTAAACATGATTTTGCCATTCTTTTAAGAAAACGTATTCCAAACCTGACTCTGCTATGAATAGTTTTTTAATTTAGAATGTGTATTTATTTATGAAGATTTTATGATGGGTCAAGATTGTTTCTCACATAACTCTATCAAAGTCTGCATGTTACAACATAGATGACTTGTGAACATGATTTACCATTTATATCTTAAGTTGGAATCACATCAAAAGAAGAAGTCCAAAGAGAGATGGAAATAAAGCAGCAGTGTATCAAGTACTGAACTCATTGTTTCACCTGTGAGTGAAAGTGCTCGGGGTTTTTTAACAAAAATAAAACCAGCAGTCTCTCCTGACCTTCACTGTACCTCAAAAAGGCAGCACCTCACAGAGAAATTTACTGTTAGAATATATTGATATACCATATAAAGAAACATGTCTTATTAATTACTTTAGATTACTGAAAAGTTATATGGAAAACCAGTAGAAAAATTAGCTGTTAATTTTAGAATAGAATAGAACAGAGCAGAACAGAACAGAATAGAACACAACAGAACAGAACAGTTCAGCTGGAGGTGACCTGCAATGATCATCTGCCTGACCACTTCAGGACTGGCCAAAGGTTAAAGCATGTTTTAAAGGACATTGCCCAAACACTTCTTAAACACTGACAGGCTTGGGGTGCTAGTTACCTCTCTAGGAAGACCATTCCAGTGTCTGACCACCTTCTCAGTAAAGAAATGCTTCCTAACATCAAGCTGGAATCTCCCCCAGTTCAACTTTGAACCATTTCTACACACCCTGTTACTGGATCACAGGGACAAGAGATCAACATCTCCCTCTCTAATCCATCTTACTTTTATTCTTCCTGCTATTTTAAAAAAACTCATTTCCAGGAACTGCGCATACATTAGGATTTTATATATCTAAAATCTCTCTATAGGAAAAGGACTGGTTCTGGAATCATTTTCTATGACTGTATGAACCCTGTGCATGGTTCACCCACCCCCCTGACTAAGCATCCCTCTCTCCTCTATGTTTTCTAAATAGTTTTCTACTTCCTGTTCTCTTTCTGCTGTATCTGCCTTTCACAGTTAGATGCTGTATAAAGAACATTACCCAAAAGGTAAGACACTTTATAATCCAGAGGAAAGGGAATTGAAAGTGCCCCACAGCAACCTCAGGACATGCACTTATATATTTTCCCTATGAAAATGAAAGGATAGGCAGAAAGAAAGTTATAAAGCTGGGATGTACTTCAAAATTATGTTAGGAAGTAGGAAAATAAAATCTTAAATGCCATAGTTTAGCCATGGCCAAGGGCACAACTTATTTAAAAAACATTATCTTATCTCAATCTTCAGATACATGGGTACAATCTGAGAGTCAACAAATGTCAATACTTAGATAACTAATTTCTATATTTGATCCAGCATAAAAGGTCTTAAAATCATGTTTATCTTATTGATAAGAAGTGACGAGACACTCATTGGTTTAACTGAGAGTAGGATTATCTTTTTGCCTTTAGTTCATGAATCATTGTTTTTAATCAATTTTTGACTTATATTTAGAATAATTTTATTGTAAAAGTAAAAATGCGGTATATGCAGTTACTTCTTTACTCTGTTTCAGCATCAGTCTGACCTGTTTCTGTGTGTTCAAAACCCAAAGTTCCACAAATTGATGCAACTTGTCTTGCAAATATGTATCTTCTTACTGTTCTTCCTTTTCTTTTGTTTCAGTATACTTCTCTCTTTAGAGATCTAGAAAATTTCTGTATCGTTTCCTGCCTCCTCTTTTCTTTCTGCATGTCTTTCACAGCTGTACAATGAGAAGCTGTACAAAGTACATTACCCAACAAGCAAGACATTATGTTTATAAACACAGGGAAAGGGGAGAGGAAGCCAGCAGCTTTGGTCATACTCACTTTCAATAAGGAATTCTGATACAGAAGTCTGTTGTTGTAGAAAAAATAATTCATCTTCTTTCTTTGAAAATTTTTTCCCAAATTCATATTCCTTTGTCCTTGCTTCCACAGCTTTAAACCTTGTCAGAATTGCCTCTCTCCCTGTCAATAACATGAAGGTAGCTAAATGCAGGCATGCGGTTTTCCTAAAAACAGAAGAGGCTGCACTGACCTGCCCTGCTTCACAGACATATATAGAAACATGATACACATATTTAAACAATTTTATCAGCATGATAGACTTTTCTTGATGCCTAATATACATTAATTACATCACCTCCTTCTTATCAAAAAGGAAGCATTTTTTTTTTTATCCTTCCATCAGACCACTATTAGACACCTTCTAGAAGCAGAACAGTAAACATCAAATGTGGTTAATATTCAAAATAAGCTCTTGTATTTTAGATTAATAAGCATTAATATTAGCTTTTCATTATTGCAGCCCCAAGAAATAACATTGCTGTTATAATCAGCAATGAACACATAGAGAAGAAAATATGTATTAAACGAAAGATCAAACCCTCCTTAAAAAAAAGAGGGTTTATAGTCAAAGGAAAAAATTACCTCTCTACTCATCATAGCAATAGGAAAAAATCTGGTCTTGAAAATCCTAACATGGTAAGAATTGTAATTAATTATGTAACTTGCATGTTAGTTTGAAAACACAGATTTTTGTGTTATGTTACAGTGGGTTAAATTTTTCTGTACTCAGTCATAGTAAGACCATAACTAGAGAAATATGTCCAGTTTTTGATCCTGTATTCCAGAAAATTTGATAATGACCAATTTGATAATGGAGTGATGAAGGAACATCATCCAGATTGAGAATAAAAGACAAGCAGGCTCAAAACCCTTCAGCCTTTAAGGAAGGAACTTAAACAATTAAACAAAAGGAGTCTGTGTGAAAACATAGCAATAGCCTTCAAATAGATAGAAGTCTGGTGCATCTGCTAGGAATAGGACACAACACAAGAAAAAAAGATGCATTAGAGCAACAGAGACTTTGTTTTGAAATGAAGGGAGGGAGAAAACTCTGTGTTCTACATGTAAGGACCATTAAACACTGGAAGAAACAGCCTCAGTGGTTCTTTCAAAAGAGTACTTTTAAAGAAGTAGACAGGTGACTTCTAAGGATGTTTGTAGCTGGATTGATCCTGTCCCAGGGCAGAAGATGGCTGTTGTTACGTCTTTCCTAGTTCTGTTATCTTCAAGTCTGCAGCGTTACAGTTGTGGCATTTCCCACTGGCTGTTCGATAGCTCTGTTCCTTTGTGCAGACTGCGTATTGGAATACATTTGAGTTTTTTATGCAATAACCAGCAAATGTCAGGCTTGAAATGCAAGCCGGTAACCTACTTGGACAACTCAGAAATCTTCAGAATGTCTGAATTAGACATATTCCTGGTTTACTCATGAAGAAATTGAAGCCATAAGCAATTTATATTATCTGTCCATGAATATACCACAAATGAATGGAAAATGAGGACTGAAAACTGAGTAATCCTCTGGATTTTACACTTCCCATTGTAAACATAAGAGTAGGCTCAAAAGAAAAAAAAAAATCCCCCAAAAATAGGAAAAATATGGCAGTGTCCCATAGATCATAGAAACTTAACTGTTATCTCACTATTAAATACAAAAAGGTGTATTTTGGAAGCATATCTTCCCCAAAAGTCCATATTTCTAGTGCAATTTTTTTGACTAAATGTAAAATCCATCCAGGTCAGAAAGAAAAATCTTTCAAAGCACCTTTAAACAACTATGCAGAGTTTTAAAATATATACTCACTAAGGGTCCAGCAATCAGTCTTGGTTATTAATTATTCTGACAAAAAAATTGATTTTCATTTCCTTCTTTCATGTTGTGTGGGAACAGCCTGAGGTAGATTACAATATCTGAGAGAGATGATAAAGACAGTAAGAAGGCTTTTGAGAGAGCACTGAGCACCTAGTGGATTACTGTCTGTTTAAGCTTTTGATGAACTACTGGGTTTAGTTTTGGGAATCTTGTCTCTTCAGCATCCTGATTTTCATTTCTATGCAGGTTGGATAGAATGTAGGGAATATAGTACTGAGGTGCCAGATGTAATCAGGTGAACTAATCCCAGCAGGACACTATAAATTTTATGTGTGCAAATTCACTAGAAAGTTGATGTGTCCATATTTTGTACTATATAAAAAGGCTCCTAAACATCCCAATAAACAGTAAAACTTGTGAAGTCACTGAAATTTAATCAAATATTAAATTCTGATCAATACTTAAGTAAATTCACCAAGCTTCTCTACCTAGTAACAAGGTGTCCTGTGTGCCACAGAGGGATGCCTTGAAAATTATACAGTATTTTGTTCAACTTTTAAAAGTCTACTAAGGTAATAGTAAATGCTAGAGATTGTTTTTCAAAGAAAATATATTCTTGACAGATTTCTCTGTCTTGCAGAGACAAAGGTTATCCCTAAAATAGTGTTGATAGACCTATGTCTCCCAAAGTATCACTCTGTAAAAAGTCATAGCCCTACTTCTGTGTATCCTGAGTTTATTCCTGTGATGGTTCCTAAACAAATGTTTCCTTCTTAGAGTCCTAAATTTAAAATCAATGAACTGAAACCAGCAATCCTGTTTAAATGCACAACGAATCCCACTGAAGCATCATAGGATGCTTCAGGGTGGGGATGCTGGGCTGTGGGGCATTCTTACACCTGTGCACTGAACACCTACATGGGTTAAAAGCTAAATCAAGTACAAACCTGAGGCTCATCTCTTAGCAGGGTGCTAAAATTAAATATATATTAAAAAACCCAAACCCCAACACTTTTTGGTTTGACTAATGTTACTCCGAAAGTATTTACATACTTTTTTTAAAAACCAGCAGGGAAAAACCTAGAATGTTCTGACCTTACTTCTGCATAAGAAGGTGTTTCTTGTCTAAAATGAAAACAATCTGTATTTGTTCAAATCCTTATTTTCACATATCACTATTATAGTTTCTGTAACAATATGAGGGCCCCTCCTTTTTTTTTTAAACTGGAAAGTCTTATAACCCTTGCCAAAATAGACAAACGGTTACAACTGCATAGCTGGGACAAAGTCAACCTACACAGTCTCAGGGCAGTACACACGAAGTTTAAGGGAAGTGAAGTAGACTAAGGCGCAGACGGTTCCCAGCTAACTCACAGGGATGCTCTCATGTATCGTGCTGCTGCCACCTTAAGGACAAAGACAGCGAGGACCTGCGCTGCTTGTCCTGCGCAGAGACCTACAACTTCTGTGTGACAGCTAGGATTTTGACACAGTTCTCATGCCTTTATGTACATTACCACACTCAGTTGCGTCCTGTTTGCTCTCCAGGGCATGGTAGTACGCTCTTGTTCTTTAAAGCTACATGATAGCTTATAATTTAAAGCTGTGTGGTGTTAGGAGCCTATTCTGCAGGGAAAGCAGGCATGATGTGGCACGATGGAAAACAAAATGCTCCTTTTCTGTATTTCTAAAAGGTTTTAACACATCAAATCACCCAGTTCACATGTTTCTTGCAGGTTGCTAAGCATCAGGATGCTGAGGGTGCACAGAAGCCACTGCCCTCTCCTGCTGGCTCCATGGGGGTCTGTGCATCAGGCGTTGAGGGCTGGAGAGGGAAAGTCCCTCCAGGCAGCCTTGCAGCCCCAGCTTGAGGGGTTCTGGTCTTCAGGTGTGCCACACCACAAGCAATTCTATCTCTGCACAGAGTGACCAGTTATCAATTTCCCCTACTAAGATTTGTGATTTTTCCCAATTTGCCAATTATCACATATCAACAACATAAAAGAAATTATTGTGATGCACAAATTAACTATGCAACCTAAAAGAAATTTAGTTAGGACCTGATATCCCAACAGTTCAACTTCAGTTATGTGGACATCTCCGAGTGTGTCATGGTGCCATCAAACCTGAAGGACAGGGCTGAAAAAGTGCTGTAAACACATTAAGGTATTTCAGTTTTTGCAGAGGATTTTTATTAAAGGAGGCTCCTTTCTGAGAAAGGCCCTAGAATGCAGTGTCAGTATATTTAAAGAATTCACCTGAAAGGAAGAAACTGAGACAAAAAACTTTTAACACAAAAGAAAAAGAAATAAAATAATGGTGTATATGTGCTGAAAGTAGATGGCCAAGACTATTACCAGGATTGTGCTGCAAATACTGAATGTTATTCTCTCATTTATCTTCTCTTTCCCCAGAACAGAAAACCCATTCTCTTTATTAGTATTTTCACTATTTCTTGTTGTCAAACTTCTGATTTAATCTTCAGCTTCATGTATCTGAAATTTAACTTAATCCTTCCATGGGTAAATATTGTTCCCTATACAAAGTGGTTTAAGATAAGTATGATTAGTACTATTGTGTTGTAAAATCTATGACAGCTTATCATTGCTGTCAGTATAATTGTCCAGCATTCACAAAAACTGGATGTTCAAGATTACATTCAGTTGACAGTGAATACAGTGACTAGAGGGTTGGACTAGATGATCTTTTAACACAAACTATCCTATGATTCTATCAATGAATACATAGTTTTCAATATCTATTCAGATGTTTCAATACTTCAGTCTGTTAAGTTGCTTTTTTGGTGAGTTTTTGTATAAAATGCTTTACTGGTATAGCAAGAAAATGTCATGACCTAAACACTCTTTTGGAAACTACCTCAATCCTTTTCAGGAAATAAAAAAAAAGTAACTGGAATAAGATAGCTGTACTGATAAAATCTGCAAGGCAGACAAACTTTATGTGAGAACAGCATGAAACACCAACTGTGGGTGACCTTTTGGACCTTCTGAAGTCAATCAATTGTGGCCATCAGCTTCAGTGGGACAGGAATTTGCTCTGTTTTCTGAAGTGAGAAGCTTTAGGAAGGTAAATTGTCTTACACTCTGAGTTCCCTGCTGCTGCATCATCTGGATAGTTATTATCCTGGATGTACCTTTTTTGTATGCTCAGATTTCACACATCTTAATTTTTTAAAATGTATTTATGTATTTCTTTAACTTATGTCTAAAACACATGTGTGTATCATTATTTATACATAATTTATGGTGTGTATACATATATAATGTATGGTGTGAGTATATATTATATTGTATGCATATATATATATATATATATATATATATATATATACACAGCAGCATTAGAAAG